AATTGATTCATTTTTTACGACTTATCAACCCTTCGCAGGTGATTTTAAGCCAGAAAATATTTTAGATTGTAAGAATTTCTTTTCTTTTTGGGGGGCAGATAATACTGATTTAGCGATACAAGTTTTACTAATTAACCCATAGCTGGGGGAAGAGGTGGATTCATACCTAATCAGTATTTGATAAACAGACAAGAAATTATAATGTGGATATAAAGTGGGAGATCAATTCTGTATTACAATGTATATATAAACTGATCATTCACTTTGTGACCACCTTAGTTTCTATACATTTATATCCCAAAGAATGTGAATAAATCTAAAAGACATGCCTGTGTAGCTAATCAGTTTTTGATTAATTCATTTTTTATGGTTTATCAGCCCTTTGCAGATTATTTAAGGCCAGAAAATACTTTTAGATGGTAAGAATTTCGTTTTTTTATTATTATGACTTATTGATACATTTCTTACTATTTAACCCATAGGGGGGATAATGCGCAGTTCCAAACCTTTTCGCAATGATATTTTGGAGTAAGGGAATGTAATTAATCTAACAAGAACTGAAACTCAGTTCTCCGATTAACAATTCCGAGCCATTATCCATTACTCCACTAGAACATCCAAGCAGTCACCCACTTAGGTACTGACCAGGCTCGACGTTGCTTAACTTCAGTGATCGCCAGATAGATACTAAGAGAAAATATGAAAGATCTATGGGATATCACAACAGTGGTGATAGCAGACAGACGAGTTGCAAGTTGCAATAAGACTTTTGCGCGCTATGAGCAGAAATTCACTTTGAATTTCTTGTTGTGTTTAGCCAACATGCAAATCAGCAGGAAGCTGGTACCGGTCTGGATCAGTGTGTTCACCGAGACGTTTCAATAAATCAGTAGCAAGCAGGTACCGGTCTGGAGCAGTGTGATCACTGAGACGTTTCTATAAATCAGCCGGAAGCAGGTACCGGTCTGGAGCAGTGTGTTCACCGAGACATTTCTACAAATCAGTAGGAAGCAGGTACCAGTCTGGAGCAGTGCGTTCACTGAGACGTTTCTATAAATCAGCAGGAAACAGGTACCAGTCTGGAGCAGTGCGTTTACCGAGACATTTCTATAAATCCGTAGGAAGCAGGTACAGGTCTAGAGCAGTGGGTTCACCGAGACACCTATAAATTAGTAAGTAGCAGGTACCGGTCTGGAGGAGTGCGTTTACCGAGACGCCTATAAATCAGCCGGAAGCAGGTACCGGTCTGGAGCAGTGCGTTCACCGAGACGCCTATAAATCAACACGACGTGTCTGGTGAATGGTCTCCGCGTTAATCTAAGTTTTACAATCAGCAAAATAATGCCTAAAAGAGTGCGATATTAACACGCTCAGATGTTGTGAAATACAATACAAACTAAAGAAAAACTATTCGCTGAAAGAGGCCAACAAGTTTGCGTCAATGCCTCTTCTTGCTACATTAGGTCAGATTCATTTTCCCTTTTCTCAGAAATTCAACATTACACTCGTTGTGAAAGCTTGGGTTTAATGTTTAAAGTACTGACATAAAAAAAAACAGATTTATAACGTCTACCAGTCTTTGAGAAATTTAGTTTTAAAGATCGTCTTTAAAAATGTACAGAAATACTTAAGCTCCACAGGTTTTTGCTTTCAAACAGACTTCAAAATTTTACTATTTTGAGAATAAATCCAAATAAAGTTGATATATCTTGTATTATATACATTGAATGGAAAATATATTCAAACCAGAATTCTAATTATGAATCAACACAAGGAAAATATTCGATAAATAAAAACTGAAAAAAAAAATGTAAAAGACTGCAAAAATTTTTTCCTCATAGTTTTAAAGTCATCTGATAAATGTTTTGAAATACCACCTTTTCGCAGGTTTTTGTTTTCAAACTGACTTGAAATCTGACTATTTCAAGAATAAATCCAAATAATGATAATATCCTCTGTATTAAATAAATTGAATGTAAAATATATTCAAAACAGAATTCTAATTATGAATCAACACAAGGAAAATATTCGTAAGTAAAAACTGCAAAAATATATATATATATATATATATATATATATATATATTAAAAAGATCCCCTTAGAAAAAATAAATTCTCATAGTTTTAAAATCCTCTGATAAATGTTTTGAAATACCTCTTTTTCGCAGGTTTTTGTTTTAAAACTGACTTGAAATTTGACTATTTCAAGAATAAATCCAAATAAAGATAATATCCTCAGTATTAAATAAATTGAATGTAAAATATATTTAAACCAGAATTCTAATTAGGAATCATCATATGCAAAATATGCAAGTTTTTAATTTATTCGTTAAATAAAAACTCTAAAGAAAATTGTAAAAGATTACAAAAAGGCTTCTTATTAAGTAAGATTTGTTAGATCATAATTAATAAAAACAAAAAAATATATATAAATGTATATAAAACCATCATAATGACAAAATGTTTGAAATTTGCATTGTTTATTGAAAATCGCACTAAATCTACTGCACTGTATAATTTATTACATCATAATATAACTAAATTGTTCTGTATAACGTCCCTTTGAAGTAAATGAAGGTGTTATTTAATGACACAATGATTTAGTAATAATGTGCTTGTACCGTGCATCTTGTCCATATATAATTTGTGAAGCTTCAGTAAATTATAAATTTTATGAGGTTTTTACTTATCACTGGAATGAAAATTCAATTTCACCATTTTGAATCTAAATGTAATCTTTAAACTCACTTGCTCAAAAATCAGTAACAACATGGAAAAATATTTTGTGCCATTTTTTAACATGCCAACCTACAATTTTCAAATTGGTGGCGCAATGATTTAGTAATAACTAGCAGTACAGCCCGGCGTTGCCCGGGAATGTAACAGTAAGAGATAGATCAAGTATCGACCATCATAAAGACTGAAAAATAAAATTGACAATGGTTATTGTTTAAGGTTGACGGACACGCATGTCTTAATTAGATTTTTTTTTGTTTTTTGTTTTACGAATTGGTTAAAGCCAAACTCAAACAAAAACATTGTTTTCAATCGTTATGAGTCTCTCCCGACTGAATAGAATTTTATTATAAACAATTGTCTTGTAAATGTAATCTTTAAACTCACTTGCTCAAAAATCAGTAACGACATGGAAAAATATTTTCTGCCATTTTTTAACATGTCGACCTACAATTTTCAAATTGGTGGCGCAATGATTTAGTAATAATGTGCTTGTACCGTGCATCTTGTCCATATGCAATTTGTAAAGCTTTAGTAAATTATAAATTTTATATAGCTGTGTTTTACTGATCACTGGAATGAAATTCCAAAGTTACGATTTGGGACCTAAACTTAATCTTTAAACTCGTTTCCTCAAAAAAAAAAAAAAAAAAAAAAAAACGGTAAGGATTTGGAAATAAATTTACTGTATACTTATTTATCATGTCAAAACCCAACTTTCAAACTGAGTGCTACGGTTCCAAATTCTCCAAACCCCACACTTCTTGATTATGTGTCCTTAGATATTTCAAGAGTCATTTTTTATTCTTCTGTGAAGATATCTTCCATTGTTCACTGGCTCCCCGAAACCAAATTTATCAGGGAAGTGATTTTAAAAAGAGATGACACTGCTGTTGCAGAGATGCTAAGGTGGCTGCAGTCACTCGACGTCACGTTTTTCGAGGATGGTGGATATTTGTACAAGGCTTGAGAGCCCCTTATATAGAGGATTACAGCCAACAAAATAGTGCTGAGTGAAGAGCGCAGTATGGAAAAAGGAGGAATGTAAATTATGAGGGTAACGAGGAAAGATGACGATTGTCCGTTGATTTGAACAGACCAAGTTTGGAGTGTTCAGGGAAGTATCCACGCGGGAGTTTGTTGGGAATAAGTGTCGTCTAAGTTAAAGTTTTTTCTTGTGTGCGAAACACGGAGAAGATGATGACTCGACACTGTGAAAGTGGTATAGTGTGTCCTATCTGTAAAGGTCTGAACTAGTATTAAAGAATGGAGATGATCTGAACATTTGCCATGGAAATAGCGGCAGGGTAGAGACATGAATATAGCATGTTAGTAATGTTTTATTTCTACAGTCATATGTTGGATTAGTAAATATTTATAATTTATCTGTTCGGATATCCCGTGTAGTATAATTCAAATTTACAGCGAAACACCTGAATACAAACGGATAAAATAATTGCGCAACCTAATTTTATTGCTTACAGTAATTATTCTGCCTGAACATGGCCTCAACGAAGGTAAGAATTAATATCAGCAAGAAATGATACAAGGAAAAACGAAGAAATGATCAAGCAAATGGATGAAGACCGGAAAGGAAGGAAAGAAGACGGAATGAACAAAGGAAGGATGTGAGAAGTAAAATAATATTAAATCCAAATTACTCTAGAGAATATTGCCTTAATTTCCGGTGAGTTTGAATTTTAATTGCCATAAGATTGTATCGGAATAGGCTTCCATATTGATGATCACACCCTCACAGAAACGAATAGCAATCGACCAAGAAAACCTAATTATGGTATTCGTTATTATTATTATTATTATTATTAAATTGTAAGAGATGCTGGATTTAATACTCATGTTACTACTATTATTGAAATGCAGGATCGTAAAGAATTAAAAGAGAAATAATGAAGATGAAAAAAGAAAAAAAAGCGAAAGAGAAAATGTAATAAGAAAAGAAAGATAATGGAGGTGCAATTGAAAAAGAAAAGAAAACGAAAGAAAGAAAGAAGCCAAAGTAGAAGGGAAGGAAAAAGGAAGGAACGAAGGAAGGAAGAAAAATTAAAAAAAAAGAACGAGAACAAATAAAGGAAGAGTTAAAAGTAAGCAGATTATGAAGTAAAAACAAAGAAAGAAAGAAAGAAAGACAGAAAGAAAGAAAGAAAGAAGCCAAAGTAGAAGGGAAGGAAAATGATAGAATGAAGGAAGGAAGAAAATAGAAAAAGAAAGAGAACAAATAGGGGAAGAGTTAAAAAAATAAGCAGATTATGAAGTAGAAAGAAAGAAAAAAGAAAAAAAAAAAAAAAGAAAGAAGAAAAAGAAAGAAGCCAAATAAGAAATGAAAGAAAAATGGAGGAAAAACGAAAAATAAAAAAAAGGAGAAAGAAAGAAGAGAAAGAGAAAAGGAGCGGAAAATGAAGGAAGGAAGAATGATAAAAAAGGAGAAAGAAAGAAAGAAAGAAAGAAAGAAAGAAAGAAAGAACGTAATTTAGCGTCATGCTGAAATCAGGACTAAAGAAAGAAAGAAAGAAAGAAAGAAAGAAAGAACGTGATTTAGCGTCATGCTGAAATCAGGACTAAAGAAAGAAAGAAAGAAAGAAAGAAAGAGAAAGAAAGAAAGAAAGAAAGAAAAAGAAAGAATTTGAAAATAAAGGTCATGCTGAAATCAGAACTAAAAAAAAAAAAAGAAAGAAAAAAAGAAAGAGAGAGAAAGAAAGAAAGAAAGAAAGAAAGAACGTGATTTAGCGTCATGCTGAAATCAGGACTAAAGAAAGAAAGAAAGAAAGAAAGAAAGAAAGAAAGAAAGAAAGAACCCAAATAAGGAAAAGTGAGAAAATAATAAAAGCAGACTGGAAAAAAAAAAGAGAAACGAAGAAACTTCGAAAGAAAGAAAGAAGTAAAGGAGAAAAAAAAAGAATAAAAGAAAGGAAGAATGAAAAAAGACGAGAAAGAAAGAAAGAAAGAAAGAAAGAAAGAAAGAAGGAAAGAAAGAACGAGAAAGAAAGAAAGAAATAAAGGAAGAAGGCTAGAGAAAATGGAAAAGAAGAATAAACAAAGAAAATGTGATTGGAAGGGAGGAAAAAGAAAAAGTAATGAAAAGTCCTGAAAATCATAGAAGAAAACCTTCATGTGGTCCATGATGAAATAGAATAGAATCAATAGATTTTACTTCTGCCGAAAAATTAAAATCACATTCCATTTTATACTTTTTTGTGATGACAACGAATACCCGTTGTCACTTTCGTAATGCTCGTTATAGTAGAGACTTTGTAATCGCAGATACAACTTATAGTAACGCCGCTGAACAATATTGGTTTTAGACGCCTTCGAATAACACTCGTACTAATAGTACTTGCTAGATAATACACGCTCGAACAGTAATCTGTATGGTGATCCGAATTGAGAAATATTATAGTGAATAGAGTAGAAAATAACGGTCCGTAGAGTAATAGAGGATAGAGTAGAAATAGCGATCCGAATAGTAATAGAGGATAAAATAGAAATAGCGATCCGAATAGGAATAGAGGATAGACTAGAAATGGCGATCCGAATAGTAATAGAGGATAGACTAGTAATGGCGATCCGAATAGTAATAGAGGATAGACTAGGAATGGCGATCCGAATAGTAATAGAGGATAGACTAGGAATGGCGATCCGAATAGTAATAGAGGATAAAATAGAAATAGTGATCCGAATAGTAATAGAGGATAGAATAGGAATGGCGATCCGAATAGTAATAGAGGATAAAATAGAAATAGCGATCCGAATAATAATAGAGGATAGAATAGGAATGGCAATCGTAATAGTAATAGAGGATAGAATAGAAATAACGATCCGAATAGTAATAGAGGATAAAATAGAAATAGCGATCCGAATAGGAATAGAGGATAGACTAGGAATGGCGATCCGAATAGTAATAGAGGATAGACTAGAAATAGCGATCCGAATAGTAATAGAGGATAAAATAGAAATAGCGATCCGAATAGTAATAGAGGATAAAATAGAAATAGCGATCCGAATAGTAATAGAGGATAAAATAGAAATAGCGATCAGAATAGTAATAGAGGATAGACTAGAAATGGCGCTCCGAACAGTAATAGAGGATAAAATAGAAAGTAGGGGGGGGCGTCCAATTAAAAAACATACATGATTTGCTTTCTTCAAAGTCTTGTGCTTGTAACTAATATAATCACTAAACTGAATGCGACTGAATTTCTAGAGTTTTCATAAAATTAGTTGGTGGGTGGGTACAGATATAAAAAATATTTTGCCATGACTTAAAAAAAAAATATATATTTATAATAATTTCCATCATTTGTGAATAGTTTCTGAAAGTTTCATTAACATTCGACAATTATTTTTATTTTTGCAAGATTTTTCTACATTAATGTCTGTCGTAAAAAAAAAAAGTGCTAAAAATTTGTTATTTTACTATTAACTTAACATACAATAAAATAATTTATACTGCCTTTTTGACGGGACTAACACCTAAACTATCAATTGATAAAAAATGAACGAGACTGAGAAAATATAAAGCTGATGAATATAACTGGTTTTAGAATTACCTCCCTTTGGAGAACTCTTTCGTTTGTAGAGGAGCATAGAAAGACACTACGCTTTATCAATTATTCTAAGCAGAATAAAGCTTCCTTAAGGCTTCTCTTCCTCTCCTTTGTTACCACACATATATAACGTTATTATAAAGCAAGAAAAATTGCGATAAAGTCGTACATAAATAAACAAATATTGATAACTTTGTTAATTTTCAAAAAATCAGAGAGAAAAAAATGAAAATATAAATCGGCATTTAAGCATAAAATACTTAGAGATTATTAAGTCATTATACAAGACAATAAATTATACTGCCTTTTTGACAGTATTAAGGTAAGCAAAAACAGAAATGACCTTCAGGTCAGGTTAGTAGAAAAACAAATAAATGCTAATACAGGAAAAACCCGGTAACTATGGAAATGTTGAATGAAATTATAATGTGCATATGGCCTGACGATTGCTCTTAAACACAAGCACAAAACTGAAATTTACTAATTTAGCAAAAAAGATAACAGGTAGAAAAAAAATAAGGCGGGATTTAATCCAAAAATAATCGCAGAGTATGGACGTCATCACTTAACATACAATAAAATAATTTATACTGCCTTTTTGACGGGACTAATACCTAAATTAGCAATTGATAAAAAAAAAATGAACGCGAGTAGAAAATACAAAATTGATAAGTATAACTTTAGTTAATTAAAAAAAAGAAAGTAAAAATAAAACAAACGGTCGTCGGGTTAGCTGGGCAAAAACAAATAAATACTAATATAGAAAAACTTGGTAACTGCGGTAAATTTGAAAGAAATACCAATAAACAATACATATATAACTTGAAATAAATATAATAATCAAAATATTTATAATAAATGAAATAAAGTAAATAATAATCGTAAATTATATTAAATTATTATATTATTTTAAAGTAATATTTACGTTTTTCAATTAAACGTAAAATCCGTTCATTTTTTTTGAAGCTTCGACAAAACACGCCATTTTTCTTTGAGTTCAGAACACCAATATAATAATAATAATAATAATGCTAATAATAATGACAATAATAATAATGACAATTGTTGTGTCGGAAACCTACCACCCCTCTTGAAGATGAACTTGTCTGCGAACAAAGACTTTAAATAGTGGCATGTCAGTTGACATGGGGGAGACAGATAGACAGAGAAGTTCTTAGCTGAGCTAGTTATTGACTACTCAGGCGATTTCTGTACCTTTTTACCAACCTATTAAAACCCCTTTTTATTGTTACGTGTTATTTGGCGTTTGTCTCTACTAACCCCAAATCAACATCATAACAACAATAATATGAGATCGCAAACAAAAAAAAGTGCCTCCTTATTGATATGTCAGTCCCTGCAGACTGCAATCAAAAAGCTATCAAAATACAAGGACCTTGAAAACGAAATCTCAAAAATGTGGCACATGGGAACATCAACAATCCCTGTTGTAGTTGGAGCCCTCGGATTGATTGGAAATGATTCCAGTAGACTCATTGAAGGGATTCCTGGAAGCCCATGCCTTAAAGAATTGCAAAAAATTGATCTTACGAAGGGCTTTGTCTATGTAATATTTTTTCCCACTGGAAAATGTCATGATGCCATTTCTAACCTTAGGACCCTGGTCGGGACACCGAAAGAAATGAGAGGAAAATCAAAGGAAATATAATAATAATAATAATAATAATAAGTATTTCAATCTGGGGTTTAGTGCGTCAGATGTTGGTGATTTTGTACACTTTAATATTATTTTGATTTGTAATCATAATTTAATAATTGATAATACACCTGTGTTTTTCTGGCATCATCAGAGAACGAGTGTAGCAAAAATGGCGCTAAGGTGTCTACTTAGAGTAAGAGTGCATAATCTATGTGACGTCGTCCCCCGGGCGCAGCGTTGACTGTGTCGTTCGATCCCGGCCGCGGCGAAGACGTCACAGTTGGTTACAAAAATGACCAGGATATCAGAGCCTGGGGAGCACGTGACGTCACAATTGGCGCCGCGACCGGGATCGAACGACACAGTCGACGCTGCGACCGGAGGACGACGTCACAATTGGTGCCGTGACCAGGATATCAGAGCCTGGGGAGCACGTGACGTCACAATTGGCGCCGCGACCGGGATCGAACGACACAGTCAACACTGCGACCGGGGGACGACGTCACAATTGGTGCCGTGACCAGGATATCAGAGCCTGGGGAGCACGTGACGTCACATCTAGCGCGATCAGTCGTTAAAAGTACGTTCAGATCCTCAGTCACGCTGTCTTGTGACTTTATGCTTGAATATCCGCCGACGGCTGCCGAAACCTTGTGACAACCAAGTTTCTCTCATATGGCTTAAATCATTTTATGATATGATTTTCAAGAACTGGTTGATTTATCAACCCTATGTTTTTAATTAAAACCGAAAAATATTTTGGATTATAAGAATAACTCTTTTTCTTTTTTTTGTTAGTGAATTTTGCATTAAAAACTTTTTGGGAATAATGTGTTTTTTTCCACGAAAAAGTCCTACCATTTAATCCATAGGTGAGGGAGAATGTCTTTCCCAAGTGTATTTGCGTGTAAATGAAGGTAACGAAACCATTTGGAATTCGAACTGATTACCGTTTTAACAACGTGGTCATATTTTTGTATATATGTAAACTGTTTACTTACCTGGAACAAAGATAACTTTAATTCTTTTTGTTTCAACACAGAAATAATTTTCTTCTTCCGACTGTACACTAATTTGAGGCGAAAATGTTCGTGGTCTTTTACAGCTACGACAAGACCTGTGAGAAGGAAAGAAAAAAACAAATGAAATCGTTCATACGAATGCTTTTGCAGATGAAAAAACATTATAAAAAATGGAAAACCTCGATTTAAAGAATTAATTGGAGTTTGAATCTTTTTAAAAAATCTGATTCTTTCTTAAATTCGATAAATCTCTCATTTCGTAAAAAAGGGAGAAAGTTCCTTTTATTTTGTCATGGGTCCTTACCTATAACTACAGAATGAATTCTTCCTAACACTATGTATACTACGCCACTCAAGAGAGAGGGTCGAATCAAGCCGAGCTTCTTGACTTGACGGTCGAACTCTCTGCCCCTGAGCAGAGAGGAACCCAGACGAGGCTCCGCCGAAAGGCAGAGTCTCGTTCGGCGAGGTTGACCGACCCGATCCCCTTTATACGGATTCTACGGGCATTTTTTGCCCGAGCCTACGGGATCGGGAAACCCACGTTAAACTCGGCCTTGTGCCACATGAAAACCTCGTGGGGGGGTGACTAGATATCGAATCGAGCCGAGCTTTTCGGCTTGACGGTCCAACTCTCTGCCTCTGACCAGAGAGGAACCCGGACGAGGCTCCGCCGAAGGGCAGAGTCTCATTCGGCGAGGTTGACCAACCCGATCCCGTTTATACGGGTTCTACGGGCATTTTTTGGCCGAGCCTACGGGCTCAGGAAACCCACGTTAAACTCGGTCTTGTGCCATATGCAACCCTCGTGGGGCGGGGGGTGGCTAGATACCGAATCGAGCCGAGCTTCTGGGCTTGACGGTCGGACTTTCTGCTTCTGGAAGAAAAACCCGGACGAGGCTCCGCCGAAGGGTAGACCCTCGTTCGGGGAGGTTGAGCAACCCGATTCTGTTTTTACAGTTTCTACGGGCATTTTTTGGCCGAGCCTACGGGTTCGGAAAACCCACGTAAAACTCGGTCTTGTGTCACATCTTTCCATCGTTGGGGCGCAAGTAAATATAGAATCGAGTCGAGCCGATAGTAGTTCACTCCCAACCAGACTGACAGTCATACTAACACCTTCCACATCGTGTAATATACCTTCGTTATTTCTACTCTCGTGTTCGGGTTGTTCTTCTTTGGTCCTAACCTGGACCATAACATATTTAATGAACATAATTTTCTTTAGAAAACAAGACAGTCAACACGCAAATGACCAGTATTATATATATCAGTCAGTTACGTACCATGCGTGATACACGCTTAGGCGAAACATTTTTCCCGCAGTAGGTTGCCATTTCTTTCTGTGGTAGACCAGTTGCCGTCCAAGGCTATAGAACCTGGTCTGTCCTGCTATTTAATCATAGCAGAGGCGAGAAGAGGAGGATTCATACCTTTCCCAACAATCAGTCAATCAGTTATGTGCCATGCGTGATACACGCTTAGGCCATCATGATCTTTCGGTAAATGACTGACGAAACAGATTTTTTCCGCGTAGTAGGTTTCCATTTCTTATGCGGTAATGTAATGGATCTGAAATCATATGAATTATTACTATAATTATTAAAATTCAAACCAGTCAGTTAGTTATGTGCCATACGTGATACACAACTAGGCGATCATGTATCTCTCGATACATAACTGACGAGGCAGATTTTTCCCAGCAGTATGTTGCCATTTCTTTCTGCGGTTGCCATTTCTTTCTAAGGGCATAGAACGCGGTCTGAGCTACAATTTACCCATAGCTGGGGGGAAAAGAAGTATTGGCACGTAAGTGGATATCAGTCAGTTAAATGCCATGAGTGATAGACGCTTAGGCGACCATGTATCTTTTGATATATGACTGACAAGGCAATTTTTTCCCTAAGTAGGTCGCCATTTCTTTCTGCGCTAGGCCAGTTGCCATTCAAGGCTATAAAACTGGGTCTGTCCTGCTATTTACCCATAGCCGGGGGAGAAGAGGAGGATTCATACCTTTCCCAACAATCAGTCAATCAGTTATGTGCCATGCGTGATACACGCTTAGGCCATCATGATCTTTCGGTAAATGACTGACGAAACAGATTTTTTCCGCGTAGTAGGTTTCCATTTCTTTATGCGGTAGACCAGTTGCCATCCAAGGCTATAGAACTCCGTCTGACCTGCTTTTTACCCATAGCTGAGGCGTGGGGAGAGAAAAAGAGGTTTCATACCTTTCCTAAGAGTCAATCAATCAGTTATGGGCCATGCGTTGTACACGCTTAGGCGATCATGTATCGAAAGATACATGACTGACGAGGCAGATTATTTCCCGCAGTAGGTTGCCATTTCTTTCTGCGGTAGACCAGTTGCCATCCAAAGCTATAAAACCTGGTCTGTCCTGCTATTTACCCATAGTTTGGGGAAAGAAGGAGAGGATTCATACCTTTCCAAAGGGTATTAGCACGTAAGTGTATGTAATGGATTCGACTGGAATTCGAACTAGGATCCTCTGATTCCTCAATCCGAGCCGCTATCCCATATGTGTACTCGAGATCCAGCTTAAACGATACATAGTACTAATGAAAGGACATATTGTACTTGGATCTCACTGTCGAGTACATTAAAATTAGACAAGGGATTCTTCAGCTAGGGCCGGTTTTCTGTTTTTACGGCATGTTTAATATGAAATTCAGTATTTGATTCTTCTTCTAAATGGTCTGAAATAAGAGCGTTCCATTGCGCCGTGTCGTGCCTCGGTCTTGTGTCGGACGACCGGCTGATCGGTTGAACTCTCTCTCTTCGGGCGGAGAGGAACCCGAACGAGGCTTGAAGGGCGGAGTCTCTTTCAGGGCGGTAAATGACCAAAAATGAACCCGTTTATACGGGTCCAAATTTTTTCAATTTTTGGCCGAGCCCACGGGCTCGGAAGATCCCACGTTAAAAATTTTTTGTGCCACATGATACCCTCGTGGGGGGGGGACTAAATACTTGTCTTGTGTTTGCTCGAACCATTTTCCAAAGCCCGAAGTGTCCATTATTTTTTTCGCGACTCGAAGAATTAGGGGTAGTTCCTTTTTTGAGATGACGTGCGAGGTGGGTTTGAAGTTAGCTACGTCAAGCGTCTGCCGAAAGTGTCAGGACCTAAAAGTTTTGCTCGCTTGATCCTTCGATGTCGGCTCTTCCTATCATTGCGAAGCAGAATTCGTCAAGCGTTGGAGTGTTCACCCACCGAAAGGGAACGTGAGCTGGGTTTAGACCGTCGTGAGACAGGTTTTTTTTATCCTACCGAACTGACGTGTTCATTTACGTCGGCCGTGGCCACGGCTATCCCGTCCAGTACGAGAGGAACCGCGGGATCGGAGCAACGGTTCGCGTATATATCGCTCGAACGAGCGGCGGTATAAATGCGCGCGATAACGGCTGAAAGCCTAATTAAGCCGGAACCGCGACCGGGGCCGTCAAAATATTTATTAAAGGCGTCTATTTTCGTTCCACTCTTTTTATGCCATAGCGGTCGTCGTCGTATATAGTGAAGGCTATAGGGCAAAGTATGTCCTGCTATTTACCCAAGCTGGATGGAGATAGATGCATTCATAGATTTCCCAAATGTTTTAAGATGTGAGTGAATGCAATGAACCCGAGTGGAATTCGAACTCGGCCTTCTGATCCCTTAATCAGAGACGCTACCCATTACTCTACCTTGCTTACATTATATTCGGACTATTGAATTTATCTTTGTGGTGTTTACCACAACGTTTCGGCTAGTGTGCTCTTCGGCCTTCCTCAGTTGTATCTTGATCTGGGTAACCTACCCTTTATTTATTCTATGGGTAAAAAGGATTCAGTTCAGAATTCCCTTAGCTTACACAGATCAATATACACCTGAGGAATACAGAAACGTCGTGATAACAACAAAGATCCTTTTTTTTCACTTTTTCATATATATATATATATATATATATATATATATATATTATGAAATGGTCAAAGTCCGACAATTATTTAAAACACATCTTTTATAGATACAAATATTTAAGTAAATGCTTTGTTTATAATAAACAGTATTAATAGCATTTACAGGCCTGAATGTCCGAGAAATTTTTATAGAAAATATTCGGCGTACGACAGGAATCGAACCTCTATCGTATACGGAACCGTCATATACCCTGACGTGCCTTAACCGATTGAGCCACAGAGGATCGTTCGATTAGCACGGTCGATTTCACTGCTTTTAAACTACAATCTTCCATGAATGTCTCACGTACATTCATATCTGCTCAAAGCGTATCCAAATGTAAACAAATGACATCACACATTATGAAATGGACAAAGTCCGACAATTACTTTGAGTCATTTTTATGTTTATACATTCTTTTTATAGATACAAATATTTAAGTAAATGCTCTGTTTATAATAAACAGTATTAACAACATTTACCGGCCTGAAAATAAAAATTTTTCGGACATTATAAACAGCATTTTCTATAAGCATGAAAAGCATGGGGCACCCAGTGAGGATTAAACTCACTACCCAGTTGTAATGCTTCTAATGAGACAAGCTTGCTAACCATTACACCATGTAGAGGTGCCCATTATGAGATAAGATCAAAGAACTAATTCCTTCCCCTTTCTTGGACCACTCCTAATTGTTTAGTTTACATGTTAGGCAAAGGAAGACTTTTTCCGCCAGTTCAAGACGATTTTGGATTACAAAAAAGACAGTGGTTAAACATAAGAAAACATAATAAAAAGAAAATTAATTCATTTAAATAATATGCGGAAATAAGCATTTTTCGCCTGATGAATATCACAAAACCCAAAACGCGTGTAGCAAAAATATGGACAATAAAATATATATTAAAATATCCACATTATAATAAAAAAAAAACGTTTGTGCCTTCTTTTTCTCTTTAAAATATATACTTTTATTTCGTCAGAACAATTACAATCTCTCCTATATATATATATATATATATATATATATATATATATATATATATAATGGACTCTCCCGTCGGTTTCGACGTATGAGGATCTGACAGCTTATTGATTCAGTTATGAAAGTTTGTGTGATAATCTCAAGCGGCATTTAAGACCTGCTAGTGATTTACAAAGGAGACCGCAAATGGAGCAAGTGTGAGGATTGTGAGATGAGATCACTGTTAGATTGGCTGACCTTTTAGATCTTGCTCTCGCTTCTTGAAGATGATTCAGACAAGCAGATTGAAAATTGCTGAGTCCACTAAAGCACGTTGATCTCCATTCTCAAGACATGACCAGGCCGCCGTAACTGAGACTGTAATTATTAGTGTTTAAGCCTTTTCATTATATCCTTACTCTGTCCTGGACATCGAGTTCTACCTGGTTTGTATCCTCTTGGAATTATTTTATTATACAAATATATATGTATGTGTATGTATGTATGTATATATATTTATATATTTTAGATATATTATTGCATGTGTATGTGCATATTTACCACTAATATTATATATATATATTATATTATATTATATATTATATATATATTTTTATTTATTTATTTTTATTTTTTATTTTTTTAAACAACATCTAAAATATTATTACAGTTAGATTTACGTTAAGAATATTCGAACACAGTGGTGTTCCATATCACGTGACGTCCGCGTCTCGCGACGGACGCTACTTGTATTTTCTGAAGAAAGATTGAGGTCAATCTGAAATATCAAATATATATATAAATAAATAAATACTTTGAAAAAAAACATTTTTTTTAATTGCAACTTTTTTATATATATATATATATATATATATATATATATATATATTTATTTATTTCAAAAATATTATTCCACGCATACATAAAGTTTCTCATGTTTCAAAACAAGAGCTGAAAACTTCAATATAATTATTTGAATTAAATTGAATTAAAGTACCAAGCTCTGTTCCAACTTCAAGCGAAATTTTTTATATATATATATATATATATATATATATATATAAGCAAATATATGGATATAGATATAACAGTATGATGAAAAAATATACGGAAAAAACAAACAAAAATCTTATATACAATTATGCTGTTTTAATGTTAATATGTCAACGTCGGACGTTTTGGTCTATTAAACCATCTTCAGGACATATTCATAAATTATAACATTATCAATACAACATGGTTTAAAGACGAAATGTATTTAGAACAAGAACAAACTGATTAAAACAAGCATAATTCTATATAAGGATTTTTTGTTTGTTTTTTGATATATATTTTCTTCATACTGTCGGATGGTTTATATCCTTATATTTTTACACACACACACACACACACTCATATATATATATATATATATATATATATATATGAAAGAAAAAGAAGAGTCACTTACTGTTGACCACACGTATAACTCTCCATGGTAGCAGGAAGGCTAGAATGAACACAAACTCCTCTATCTTATATCTTGGGAGGCCTTTTACAAATATAAGATCTACAATGAAGGAGACGATCAGGATCGTGGCATCAAACACCTGTAGGACAAAAGAGAGAGAATTGTTAAAAAAAAAAAAAGAAAAAAAGGAAAAAGGTAGAACAAAGGCAGCATGAAGCTGAAAGCGAAATGTCTGACAAACATCAAATCCTGCACTGAAGCGAGCGGACTCACCGTCAGCGACGCATCTTTGATCATTTACGCCAAGCAGACATGAATCTGAACGTCATTATCCGTGTTAAATATTCCGAACTCCCGCCAAATACGCCAACCTCCAAAATACCTCATACACTATTGTATTCGAATTTCTTTTGAGGATGCCTTCTCAATTGTTACTGTTTTTGACGAATAATTTCTATTCATTTATTTTCTGTCATTTTCTGTCCTAAATGCTCTGTTGTCGTTCTTTGTATACAGACCTGGGAGAAATATACATAAACCTCCATTGAGACTAGGTCACGCATATCTTCTCCGTGAACGCCTGTTTTTCCTAAGGTTAGTTATGTGCCATGCGTGAAAGACGCTTAGGAGATCATCTATCTTTCGATACATGACTGGAGAGGCAGATTTTTTTCCCGCAGTAAGTTGCCAATTCTTTCTGCAGTAGACCAGTTGCTATCCAAGGCTGTAGAACTGTAGTCTGTCCTGGTATTTACCCATGACTTGGGGGAGAAGGGTATTCATACTTTTCCCAAGGGTAATCGTACGTAAATGAATATCAGTCTGTTACGTGCCATGCGTGATACACGCTTAAACGATCATGTATCTTTCGATACATGACTGAGGAGGCAGATTTGTTCCCGCAGTAGGTTGTCATTTTTTTCTGCGATAGACCAGTTGCCATCCAAGGCTACAGAACCGAGTCTCTCCTGCTGTTTACCCATAGCTGGGTGGGGAGAAGAAGAGAATTCAAACGCAGATTTTAAGGGTATTAGCGCGTAAGTGAATATCAGGCAGTTATGTGCCATGCGTGATACACGCTTTGGCGATCATGTATCTTTCAATACATGACTGACGAGACAGATTTTTTCCCGCAGTAGGTTGCCATTTCTTTCTGCGATAGACCAGTTGCCATCCAAGGCTAGAGAACCAGGTCTCTCCTGCTATTTACCCATAGCTGGGGGAGAAGAAGAGGAGTCTTAACTTACTCAAGTAAGTGAATGTAATGGATTCGACTGGAAATTGAATTCTGAATATGTCAGTCACTCTGTTCTACTATTTACCCATAGCTGGGGGGAGAAGAAGAGGATTCTTAACTTACCCAAGTAAGTGAATGTAATGGATTCGACTGGAAATTGAATTGTGAATATGTCAGTCAGTCTGTTCTACTATTTACCCATAGCTGGGGGGGGGAGAAGAAGAGGATTCATATCTTTCCCAAGGGTACAGCACGTAAGAGAATGTAATGGACTCGACTGGAATTCGAACTCTCAATCCGAGCCCCTATTCATTACTCCATCGTGTCTCCTGGGGTGGCTGCGAATATAAAACCTAAACAGCAGTCATCAACAAATGTTATATATTCGAAACTAAGTCACGTTGACATGTGAATTCGCGTTAACACAGGAATTAATTTGGTTTACACAATTTCACTCACAAGGCAATTCTCGTCGCATGTTTTTCGGGCTCTTTTCAAACGTCCTGCCGCTTGGAGCGTCTCAACAGACGGAGATATAATCGCCAGGTGTTTTCAGTCAGCACCTGACAATTGCATCGTGCATGAATGTCAGAATTGTGCTACCGCTGCGGGAAAAATGTATTTTTATTATTGATATAGAACTCTATCTATAAACGGCAGGATGTGTGTGTGTGTGTGTGTGTGTGTGTGTGTGTATGTAACGAATGCACGGCCGCAATTTTCGACGGATTTGCACCAAAATTTACATGCACATGCTCCAAGTTAGCGGAAAGGCCAAGACCGACATTGCATTTCCCAACTCCCATCGATAGTGGAAATAATCGATTTTTTTCATGCTTCTACGGCAGTTTACATGTAAATTTGCTGGGCCATTTTCTACTGGCCAGGGTGAGAGCCTATAGCTGGCTGCCACGAATAGGCAGGAAGATTCTATTAGCCATCGTGAGAGGCAACAGCTGACTGACACGAATATTAACTAGCATCTATCTCTGATATTGAACACTTTATCCCATAAATATAGCACACCTAAAGAGTATATTTCTTCATATATATATATATATATATATATATATATATATATATATGACGTACACCACAGTTCAAAAGATTGAGGTAACCCTTTTAATTTGGGCCCAAATGTAGTTGTTTTGTACTTTAAATTAGGGAAAATTATTTTTTTTATTACAAATTTTATCATGAAAAAAAGAATAAAAAGCACTTTATGATTAAATTTTCCTCTCGTCAAAATATCGTTCTTTAGCCTTGATTAGTGCATCAGAAATTTTTTGCATTCATTTCAAAAGTTTCCCAAAGTATAAGTTTGATAATTGATTCCATTCTTTTTGTCTATGTTTCTGAGAGTCCTTTTTCATTTCTTTTTTTTTTTTTTTTCAGCCATCCCTCAAGTTCATCCAATGCTAATTCTGGGGATTGCTTCAAACTTTTGAACTATAGTGTATGTTGACAGAATTATAACTTTAAAAAACACATAGGTCACATAAATATAATGTTTCGATAATAAGTCTGATTGGTTTGAAAAGGTGAAAATGGCAGCTGATGTCCATATCGTCCTTCAGTCTGTTGTTAACTGGGGCAACGAATGGCTTGTTAAATTTCACGCACCCAAAACTAAACTGAGAAAATTTTCTCTGACTTCCATCAGCATGGCTGATACTAACCACCAGGAGAGCGACACGCTGTACCTTCTTCGGTCTACGTTCTCGGTTGACATGAAGTGGAAAGACTATATTGATTCCATTGCTAGGCCAGTTGCTTGGAAGGTTCGCTTACTGTGTTGTGCTAGACAATTTTTCTCTCCTGAGTCTATGCTTCATATCTATGTTTATCATTTGTCCATGCTTAGAATATCGCTGCCACATATGGCCGGGTGCTCCTGTTATTTATCTAGAGCTCCTTGATGAAATCTTAAAAAAAAAAAAGGACTCTGCAATATTATTAGCTCCGATCTGGCATCTCGTCTTCAGTCACTTTCTCACCGCCGTAAGGTTAGCTCACTTTGACTTTTCTATAAATAATTTGATGCTAATTGTTCGGATGGGCACTTCGCTACCAAAGATAAGTATCATCAAACCAGGTCAGTACTTATATGGGGGCGCTGCTTAGGAACACCTGGTACTGTAAGCAGACCCCTACTACGGGTTAAACTTTTTTTATGTATTCCCAATCTCCTCCCTCGTTAGGTGGTCAGTGATGTCACTTCTCTGGTGGATTTGGGGCGGCTTTCGTCTCAGGTGTGATTTTCGTATTCGTTGTGTTTGAATGAATGTGTGTTTCACTGAGTGCTTAGGATGAATGAATGTTTTATATTATTTAAGTCCCGCATTGATTTCGTCTCGGTAACTGATGTTTCTGCAATAATTAAGGATTGTTAGGGACGGTATAAACTAATATTATTTTGCTTAGATTCTTGTAAATCATTTTGTACTTTTTTTTTTTTGAATATTTATTCATTTGGGGTTAGATTTTTTTTTTAATTTTGTTGTTTTATTCCCTCCCCCCGCAGAGAATGAATTGTATCTAAGGGAGACTAGTTAGGACTTCATGAAGATTTTGAGGTTTTATGGCGAATGAAATAAGAATGTTAAGTCAGAATGCGTTGATTTGGTGTAAGGAATATTCTTTGTATGTTTGGATCAGTGTTTGTGGCTAGGTAAGTTTAACATTAATACAGAAGAAGACCGTCCTTTTGTCGCCATTCGCCATTTTGGCCTTGTGCCACATTTCTCTACATAACAGAATAAATATCGCTCTTCGCTATTGGGGTTATGAAGGTAAATTATTGTTTAATTCCTCTTTCCCCACAGACAAAGATTGTACATGTGGTGACTAGTTAGAACATTCATGGAGATTCTGAGGTTTTATGGTGGATGAAGTATGAATGTCAAGTAAGAAATGCGTTGTTTTAGTGTAAGGAATATTGTCGTATGTTTGGGTCAGTGTTTGTGGCTATTTAAGTTTATCTATAAGACAGAAGAAGACCAACCTTCCACACCCTACCCTACTTGTTCCACCGTAATTCATTAGAATAAATCAAATTTTAGTCAGGTTGTTGAATAAAAACCATGATATCATATATTAAATAAAAACAAAGTTATACATGAAACATCGCCTCACATGAATTAAAGATCACAGGCAATCACTTTCTTCCTCATTTGCAATGCATTCCTATAGTAAAACACAGCTACAAAATAATAATTATACATATAATAGCCCTATTCTATCAGTAATGCTTGCATTCATTCCTGACCACTGACAATCCCTTTCTTCCTCATTTGCAATGCATTCCTATAGTAAAACACAGCTACAAAATAATAATTCTACATATAATAGCCCTATTCTATCAGAAATGCTTGCATTCATTCCTGACCACTGACAATCCCTTTCTTCCTCATTTGCAATGCATTCCTATAGTAAAACACAGCTACAAAATAATAATTATACATATAATAGCCCTATTCTATCAGTAATGCTTGCATTCATTCCTGACCACTGACAATCCCTTTCTTCCTCATTTGCAATGCATTCCTATAGTAAAACACAGCTACAAAATAATAATTATACATATAATAGCCCTATTCTATCAGTAATGCTTGCATTCATTCCTGACCACTGACAATCCCTTTTTTCCTCATTTGCAATGCATTCCTATAGTAAAACACAGCTACAAAATAATAATTATACATATAATAGCCCTATTCTATCAGTAATGCTTGCATTCATTCCTGACCACTGACAATCCCTTTCTTCCTCATTTCCAATGCATTCCTATAGTAAAACACAGCTACAAAATAATAATTATACATATAATAGCCCTATTCTATCAGTAATGCTTGCATTCATTCCTGACCACTGACAATCCCTTACTTTCTCATTTGCAATGCATTCCTATAGTAAAACACTGCTACAAAATAATAATTATACGTATAATAGCCCTATTCTATCAGTAATGCTTGCATTCATTCCTGACCACTGACAATCCCTTTCTTCCTCATTTGCAATGCATTCCTATAGTAAAACACTGCTACAAAATAATAATTATACATATAATAGCCCTATTCTATCAGTAATGCTTGCATTCATTCCTGACCACTGACAATCCCTTTCTTTCTCATTTGCAATGCATTCCTATAGTAAAACACTGCTACAAAATAATAATTCTACATATAATAGCCCTATTCTATCAGTAATGCTTGCATTCATTCCTGACCACTGACAATCCCTTTCTTCCTCATTTGCAATGCATTCCTATAGTAAAACACAGCTACAAAATAATAATTCTACATATAATATCACTATTCTATCAGTAATGCTTGCATTCATTCCTGACCACTGACAATCCCTTTCTTCCTCATTTGCAATGCATTCCTATAGTAAAACACTGCTACAAAATAATAATTATACATATAATAGCCCTATTCTATCAGTAATGCTTGCATTCATTCCTGACCACTGACAATCCCTTTCTTCCTCATTTGCAATGCATTCCTATAGTAAAACACTGCTACAAAATAATAATTATACGTATAATAGCCCTATTCTATCAGTAATGCTTGCATTCATTCCTGACCACTGACAATCCCTTTCTTTAGCATTTGGAATATAGCGAACCACAGTTACATACTATTGTTAATATAATTTCTTTCTGTCAATAACACTGTTATTTCCTGACGACTGACATTCGCGTTTTTTTTTTATTCCTATAATTATTGCTTCCTGTTTCGTTGTACAGCTGGTAATTTGCTGCGTCATTAGAAATGTAATTATTAGAGTTGATGAAAATATTGACGTGTTTGACTTCGAATTTAATCGTGACATCCCAGGTTACATAACTAGAAAAAAAACCTTTTACGAAGGAATATGCGAACAACGCTTTCGCAAAGAAAAAAACAAAGTAGAGAAAAGGAGTTCATGAAGACATTTATAATTTTAAAACCGCAATACGATGACGCAAGTAATGAAAAAAGCATCGGAAGTGGTAAAGATGTACACATGCGTCGCAGCATCTGTGTTTTCGATGAAACTGATTGGTTATGACAAGCGAGCCAATACGTGTACCCCATTCTCCACAAAAATAAATAAATTTAAAAAAAAAACGAAATATTCCGGTGACAGCTGACAGGCAAAAAGGAAACCTCCTTTACTAACAGACGATAAAAAAATGGCCGCTGAAACTCACTGACGCGCATGCGTATAGAGTAAAAACGAATCTGGAAGTCGGAATGTTGGCGCATGTAAGTAGTCCAAGAAAAGACTCAGATTTACGACTGACCTTATGCTTACGCAAATTCTTATTACCCATTCACCCTTTTGGCACGTTCATTTTCTCGTCCTTATTCCAAGCACACGCCATATCCGGTCATTGGATTTTCTCCTGACCATCAGAGATTCGTGTTCCGGCAGATGTCGATTATGTTGTTCTAACGGAAACATGAATTCATTTTTTTTTCAATGTCCTTCTCTTTTTCCGTTTGTTCCTTAATGAAAAAAAAAGATGTTTTTACCATGTTTCATATGGCGAACGTATTTCTAACATTTCAAGAAAGGACGCTGTTCATCACAATTCACGAAGCTAGACATAAATGTCATCATCTTCAACATCGTCATTTCTTCTTCTTCTTCTTCTGCTATAGTCACGTGACCTACCAAGTCTGCGGGAAGACCTAAAGCAGACAGTGGTGTTTTTTTATGTCTAAATTCCATGATTTGTTTTTCTAATTCCCATAACATCACCAGCGTTATATGGACAAAGTTCTTCTTAGTGTGTGGTCTGTACTTATCAAGACAATTTTTTGTATTTTCTCTTAAGATGGGATTTCCAGGGATTTTTTTCAATCTGTTGTTGTGTTCCTTTTTTCATCATTTCAAGCACACCTACTATGCCTGGTACGATTCTTGTTTTCAATTTCCATATGTGTTTTCTTTTGGTCCACATCTGCTTCTTTGGTTAAGGCGGTGGAGAACTTTGAGAGGGGAATTAACAAGAGATAACTGACACCCATTGGACGTGGCACATGGAACTAGAACAGTCTAACCCAGTGAACGAAATAAAAGGTTCAGTTCGACATTCCAACCACCTGAAGAAAGCCGGAGCGTACAACGGCCGAAACGTTGTGATAAACATGACGACAAAGAGGAGGACAATAGTCCGAATAATGTAAATAGTGTACATAATACCTCATCTCTGAAATATAAACAGATACTGAAAGGTAGAAACGTTGTAATAAATATGGCGACAAAGATGAGGACAGTAGTCCGAATAATGTAAATAATGTACATAATACCTCATCTCAGAAATATAGACAGATACTGAAAAGGCCGAAACGTTGTAATAAATATGGCGACAAAGATGAGGACAATAGTCCGAATAATGTAAATAATGTACATAATACCTCATCTCAGAAATATAAACAGATACTGAAAGGCCGAAACGTTGTAATAAATATGGCGACAAAGATGAGGACAATAGTCCGAATAATGTAAATAATGTACATAATACCTCATCTCAGAAATATAGACAGATACTGAAAGGCCGAAACGTTGTAATAAATATGGCGACAAAGATGAGGACAATAGTCCGAATAATGTAAATAATGTACATAATACCTCATCTCAGAAATATAAACAGATACTGAAAGGCCGAAACGTTGTAATAAATATGGCGACAAAGATGAGGACAATAGTCCGAATAATGTAAATAATGTACATAATACCTCATCTCAGAAATATAGACAGATACTGAAAGGCCGAAACGTTGTAATATATATGGCGACAAAGATGAGGACAATAGTCCGAATAATGTAAATAATGTACATAATACCTCATCTCAGAAATATAGACAGATACTGAAAGGCCGAAACGTTGTAATAAATATGGCGACAAAGATGAGGACAATAGTCCGAATAATGTAAATAATGTACATAATACCTCATCTCAGAAATATAGACAGATACTGAAAGGCCGAAACGTTGTAATATATATGGCGACAAAGATGAGGACAATAGTCCGAATAATGTAAATAATGTACATAATACCTCATCTCAGAAATATAGACAGATACTGAAAGGCCGAAACGTTGTAATATATATGGCGACAAAGATGAGGACAATAGTCCGAATAATGTAAATGTTGTAAATATCACCTCATCTCAGAAATATAGACAGATACTGAAAGGCCGAAACGTTGTAATATATATGGCGACAAAGATGAGGACAATAGTCCGAATAATGTAAATAGTGTACATAATACCTCATCTCAGAAATATAGACAGATACTGAAAGGCCGAAACGTTGTAATATATATGGCGACAAAGATGAGAACAATAATCCGAATAATGGAAATAATGTACATAATACTTCATCTCAGAAATATAGACAGATACTGAAAGGTAGAAACGTTGTAATAAATATGGCGACAAAGATGAGGACAACAGTCCGAATAATGTAAATAATGTACATAATACCTCATCTCAGAAATATAGACAGATACTGAAAGGCCGAAACGTTGTAATAAATATGGCGACGAAGATGAGGACAATAGTCCGAATAATGTAAATAATGTACATAATACCTCATCTCAGAAATATAGACAGATACAGAACATATGTACTTGTTATTTGCGGAAACCGCGAATATTCGTTGTGTTTTTAGAAAATGTTTGAAACTTTATATTTTATGTCTTGTTACACATATTTTATACAGTATTTTCAATGTTTGTATCAATGGATGCGTAATTAAAAACGGCTATTAGACGTATGGAAGAAAATTTACGCCAAGTGTATAGTCACCAATACTATTTTTCAAAAATGTTTTTAAAAGGGTCTGAAATGTCTCTAAAGTGCTTAGGATGAAAGGTTAAGACATATGGGGTTTAACAATCAAAATAGGTACTTATAAGCACTTTTAGGGGTGGTTGCAAGGATTCGAGTTCTATTCTGGTCCGTAACCCCCACGAATTCGGGGGACTCATTGTACAGAGCAATGTCTTTGGATGGTTCTAGATTTATTTGTAGGCAAATACTCCAGAAAATAATCATAAACCTTAGTAAATCGTTAGTAAGAATCCCAATTAGTCATTTAGACTTGCCTTCTTCTTCTTTTTCTTCTTCTTCTTCTTCTTCTTCTTCTTCTTCTTCTTCTGTTTCGTAGCCTTTCCTTACTTTCTCACATCTTCTTTTTCTTCTTCGTTTTCTTCTTTCACTCTCATTCCCACTCCTCTTCCTCTTTCTTCTTCTTCTTCTTCTTCTTCTTCTTCTTCTTCTTCTTCTTCTTCTTCTCTCTCTCTCTCTCTCTCTCTCATTCTCTCTGGCTTCTTTTCTTCCTCCTTTTACAAAGCACATAGAGTGAATAATGGCTGTTATTCATTCATTGCTTCTTTTCGCTATGGGCTGACATGTGTGTTCCGTAAAGGGGAAAGCCATTTACGGATATGGTCCCAACGTTTTCTCGAAGCCGCGAGGCTCTTCACTTGCAAGTCCTAAATAGAAAGCAAGTCGTATATCGAAAAACAACACGAATTCATCGCTCCATAAAGACAGCTGTTCGATTTTGCAGTCCATTGAAGCAAGAATGTGAAGAAAATGAGAAAACACATTGACAGGAATCTATCTATCTATCTATCTATCTATCTATCTATCTATCTATCTATCTATCTATGTCAGCTTATTTCTATTTCTGAAAGTCTAGTCATATCTATCTATCTATCTATCTATCTATCTATCTATCTATCTATCTATCTGATTCTTTTGAGATCTATCTATCTATCTATCTATCTATCTATCTATCTATCTATCTATCTATCTTAATATCGAAGGACACACGATACACAATGTCCCTAAATTGCATCTCATCGCTAACTGAATAACTACACAAGATAGTATGTGTTCATGACTGCTAAGTCAGTTTCTCTTCAATTGTCTGCATAGCTTGCCTCATAACCAGGGAGCTATTTCTCCGTCTATGCACAAAAAGCTGGATACTTTCCGGGCAGACCACAGACTCCCCCCTCCCATATATATATATATATATATATATATATATATATATCAGGAGAAGAATTCAACATTTAAATGCAATAAAGTTATTTGTTGAATCGTTGAATAAATATCGATTGTAATGAAAGAATTTTGAAGGCTTCATCGCAAATATTGGGCATGTCGGTTTTCAATAAGGTGCCTCTTGCTTCTCATCTCTTTCTTCCCCACTTTACGCTTGGCACTCTTGTCATCACTTTACGCCATTGACCCGTGTTATTAATGGCATTCGCTCTATGTCGTCTGTTTGGCTTTTGACAAATGCTGTATGTTTTATTATTTAATATTATTTTCTCTAATGTTATTGTTCAAATTTCGTTTTACTTTGCCATTCCTCCCCTCCTCTGTTGACAGCATTTTTTTTTTTCGTTTTTGATTTCTGTTGTGTAATAAAACGAAATTCATTTTTGGGTGAGTTTTGGTTAGGGTGGAAGGAGTTCTTTGCTGTGTGGTCTGTTTCAGTAATCACATAATCGAATCTACTTTATTGAGGCCGGTTTTATCCGAAAACCATATAAAACGCTTCTTGAGAATCGTTTTTTTTCTCACTCAATCTCGTTCTTTCTTTCTTTCTTTCTTTCTTTCTTTGTCCTTTTCTATAATATTATTTGTCTTTTTCGAGAATGTTTTTAATCTTCAGTCCTTGATATTTCTTTCTTTCTTTCTTTCTTTCTTTTCTTTTCTTTCTTTTCTTTCTTTCTTTTTCCTTTTCTTTTCTTTTTTCGAGAATGTTTTTTAATCTTCAGTCCTTGATTTTTTTCTTTTCTTTTTTCTTTTTTTTCTTTCTTTTTTTTTCTTTCTTTTCTTTGTCCTTTTCTTTTTTTTCGAGAATGTTTTTCTTCAGTCCTTGATATTTTCTTTCTTTTCT